AATGTTAGATCACGAACTGAAGGTTGACTTATAGGGCTGATCCAATGTATAAGCCTAACTTAAGGGCAGCTTGGAAACTGCACAATGGACACCAAAAGTGGGCATTCCACAGTAAGCTTCCTCTCGCAGGTACATCATGCGTCATAATCTCACCATATACAAAGGGAAAAGGATAATATAGCAAGCTAAAAAGGTCAGTATATACTCTTTTAAAAGAAAAGGAGAAAGGAAAAAAGATTTAAAGCGTCTTCTTTCACCTCAGAAGTATGATGAGACGCCCAAATATTCAAAAATTTATGAGTCACTTTCTTGGCATCATTTTCTCAAGTAACCTTCTCCAATCCACTACATATAAAGCGTGCCTTGTAGCCTACGTATCACGAAGCATTTGACACAAATTATACTCAGTAACGGAAGTTGTAGTGATGCACAATTTTATGGATTTCCTTCTTTTGATGTGAGCGTTTGTGTTGCCCGGATTCGTGATTGTTCATATTTTTATTAAAATCAAAGCAATCCTTTTATATCAATCATGGATTGACAAAGAATAGACAGCCCTTGCTTTTACAAGAGTACGTAACATGATGAGAAGGCAGCAAAAGGTGAAATTAATGCACTGAGATCAGACTACTGCAAAAGCAAGGGCCGCATTCTAGTTCGTTAACATTTGCTGGCTTATGATCCGCATGTAGCCATGCAGGGAAAGTGGATCAAAGCTCACGATCAAATTGATCAGATCAACATGCTTAGAGGTAGGATTGTGGGCTCTAGAGGGAGCAGTGGCTTTTATCAAACATGTTGGGGTCAATGGGGTGCTCTGCTTAATGCTCGAAAGACCCATGGTAAAGAGACTCTTTGAAATAAATAGGCAGCACTTTGTTATGAGCAGAGGAACTTGTAGTTTTGCGTGGCTATCAAATTCCAATGCTAGTTCTGATGGGACTATTATTATTATACAATGAGATCAGTTTTTGGTGCTATTGTTCACCTCCTCCTATAATAATAGTGGAGTTAAGCAAACCATTTAGGTGGTGGCCAAGTGGTAAAGACTTGGGACTAAGAGGTTTGCTCCCTCTGTGGTCTCAGGTTCGAGTCCTTGGTTACTCATATGATGGCCATTGGAGGCTTACATGGTCGTTAACTTCAGGGCCCGTGGGATTAGTCGTGGTGCGCGCAAGCTGGCCCGGATACCCATGTTAATCTAAAAAAAAATAGTGGAGTTGAGTAGTATTTTTTTAATTTTAAATTTTATTTTTTAATTTGTATTTTATACAATTTAACTTCTTTTTAGTTCAAATTAACTCCTAATTGTATATTATTTTAGAAAGGAATGTTAAAATTAAAAGATTTAGAACTGAAGTGAAAAAAACAAGTAAAATAGATGGCAGATTTAAAATTTGTTATAAAAATTAAATCCTAATTGCATATTATTTTAGAAATAAACTTTAAAATTGAAAGATTTAAAACTAAAGTAAAAAAAACAAGTAGAATAGATGACAAATTTAAAATATGTTATAAAAGCTCATTTTAATTCTTCATAGTTTTTAAATATTAGTTAATTGGTCCCTTTAATTTTAACTTCTAACCTAAAACCAAATCTAAAAAGGTTAAAGATAGGGTGATAACTAAATATAAATAGAATTTCAAAATTACAAGGTTTAAATAGTATGGCTACTTTGCTTTCAAGCCCAACATCTTTGAGATCAACTCAACACTAAGCCTAAGTAGGCATAGATCTAGCAAGCTATCAGACCCAACGTCATTGGGTTTAGCTGCATGCTGAGTTTAAGTACTTTTGAGTATGGCAAGTTGTTAGAACCAATGTCCTTGATTTTAACTATGCACTGGGTCTAAATAGATATGGGTTTGTCGAGCTGTCAGACCCAATATCCGTAGGTTTAGTTACGCATTGAGCTCAAATATATGTAAGTATGACGAGCTGTCAAACTCAACCTTCTTAAGTTCAACTACGTGTCGAGCCGAAGTAGACATACATGTGGCAAGCTATCAGACCCGACCTTTTTAGGTTTAACTATATGTTGAGCCTAAATAGACATGGTTGTAGCAAATTGTCAATTCCAATATCTTTAGGTTCACGTACATGCTAAGCTCAAATACAAATGGATGTAACAACCTATCAAACCCAACATTCTTGAATTCAGCTGTGTGTTAAGCCTAAGTATACATAGGTCTGACGAGCTACCAAACTTAATACCTTCAGGTTCAACTACACTATCACCCATCGGCTTTGTATCATGCCAAGTCTAAGTAGTTATAGGCCTAACAATCATTACAAGCCTCATGTTGGCCATGAGGTCTTGTTTGTTTATTTTAATAAGTTTTAACATAAAATAAAGCTTTAGGTTTTTGTTAATGAAGCTTTTCTTGAAATAAATATGCAATTAAAACTTTAACAAAAACCTAAACAAAAGCTTCATTAACAAAAATTAAACATTGTTTCCTTATTTTTCATTTCTTTTTGGTTGGAGGAGAGAGAGAAATCACTAGATTCCAAAATAGAGAGAAAAGATGATCAATGATGTTGATTATAGCCACCAAAATAGTTAATTTTTATATCAAATGGTTTCATAAGATAATAGGAGTTGAGATGAGGCTTTTTTATACCTTGAAAGTATCAAAAAAAGAAAAACATATTCGAGTATAGGAAGATTTTGGGTTTCAAGTTGATTTTGGATTTTGTGTTGATTTTTGGCGTTTTTGAAAGGTCATGGATCAGTTTAACAAGGTTTCTAAAGTGTTTTCTAGTTGTTTTGGGTAAAAAATTAATTTTAAAATGGATTTGTTTATAAAAAAATCTAGGAGTTCATTTTTTCGGCCACCATAAAGACTAGATTTTAGGGATTCCCAAACAACACGTCGTCAATTGATGTAGACAACACATTTGTTTTTTAAAATGAATAGGCAGACAACATGTCATCCATCCTATTAACTTTTTTTAAAAAAATTAGGTTCATGCGTTTGGTTTAGCCTAACAAGCCCCCACACAAGTCATAACTTTTCTCTTTTTTTTTTATAATCGGGGGTGTTTGAGCCAGCTTACGTGCACCACGACTAATCTCTAGACCTACTGAACATCCTGCAAGCCCAGTAGGCAGGTAAGGCACCGCGGGGGTGACAGGCGTGCATAAGTAGAGAAACTCTACCAGGACCGCTGGACTACAAGTCTTGGTGCACACAAGTCATTACTTGATGAGCCAGGTGCTAGGCTTAGCTTTGTAGTCTCAACGGTGTCTGGCCTAATTTTTTTTTGAATTTTTTTAATTAATGCATTATCTTCTATGTATTTTTAAAATAATTTTTTATTCATGTTTTAATTAATACCCTTTATGTGTGATTTTTTCACTTATTTATCCTTTTTTAATTTGTGATTATTTTTTTAATGATATTGAGTATGTTTAAATTTTAAAAATATTGGTATAATTTATTTGTGATTTTTTAAAAATATATAGATTAAATTCCTTTTTTAAAAATATTTATTTTTTTATAAAATATATGTAGCTTTGCACAATATTTTTTTTCTTTTATTGTATTCAATAAATTTTATTGTATATCGTTTTCTATTACAAGTTTATTTTGATTAATAAATTTATTAGATATAACAGGATAAATTACCTATATATTATGATATTAATATCTTGATCTACATTTGTCTTTTAGTATTTTTAATTTTGTCTTTATTTGTTGTTGATGATTTTTTTTTATTTCTTTACATAATAGTTATTGATTTGTTTAGTTAAATACATACATAAAATTTTCAATTTATATCTGAATTTTTTTAATGTAAACAAACACACATTGAAAAACTTTAAAAGTTCAATTTTTTTAATCATGTTTAATGTTTTAGATTTGATATTTACCTTATGATTTCTAAATTTTTCCCCTTAATTATTTTATGCTCCATTCATCAGCATGATACCACGTAATAACACACATAATAACATGTAAGATCTTTTTCAGTTATTAAAATCTTAGATTTTTCTTGCTCATTTTAAAACATTAACACATGAATATCTTTTTTAATATTGACAGAAAATTAATTTGTCAGCAAAATATCTCAACATATCACTGGCCATTTATCTAGTCATGCTACTAAAATATGTAATGAAATGAGAAGAGTGGAGCTGAAGAACACGGCAGGCTGCTGCTGGATTGAGGTTGTCAATCAATTTCTAAACAATGTTTTGGATACATGTTTACTGAATGCAGGGATGTGAATTAGCAGTTTCTTGTTAATGATCAAAGTCAAAAAAATTCTTATTTCCTTGAACTCCGATGTCGATTGTAAAGCATATACAATAGAAGCAATTGTTTACGTAAAATAGGCAAGATTAACACCCTCTATGAGCTGTGGAGACACTTCTATCGACATTCATCCAACATATCTAACATGGCTAATGCATAAACAACCCAATTAATCCAAGTCCTAGATGAAACAATTTCATCCAAGCACAAGAAAGGGTCTAAAATCTTCAAACTCAAAGTGATATGCTTCAATCCTAATCACTACGGAGAAACCAAGAAAACACCTCTAATTTGAAAATGGATCTTTACTTTAAGCGCGTAGGAGTACAAAAAAAGAACCAGCAAGCAGTGAAACTGAAGAAGCTGGCAGCGGCGACAGTTATTGAGCCAGCAGGAAGAACACACCTATTAACCCTCAAAGCTAGCCCTACCCCAGTCGAAGTCCATGGATAACCCAGAAATAATCCTTCATGTTCTTTTGTCACCACCACCAAATTCAGCAAGTTTTACCTCTTGATGGCTCAATAAAAAAAACCATCCCCCAAAATCACCGAGAAACTAAAAACAGCAAAGATCTTTAAACTCAAAGACCAAAGTTTACATAGGATATGCTAAGAAACGACATAAAACAATTGAAAAACAGCAATGCCAAGAAACTGAAACAGAACAGTGACTGATAAGAGTATCAAATTATCAATAGATGGCATAAAAAACGGAGTGAGGGGCAGACCGCATGAAACAAGTAGAACAAAGGGATTATCAATTGAAAACATGAGATACCAAAAATTCATGAGCACAAATATTTTATGGAAAGAACATGCAGCCAAACTTAGATTCACCCAAATAAATTTCAAATATGCAAAATTTAGAAAAGCAATCAACAAAAATACATTATCCAGGAAGGTGCAGAACCTAGCATCAAACATGTAACTAAATCTCTCTCAAAATTGCCTAAACAGCAAGCATGGATGTGCATCCCATGATTCAGTATAATCTGTTGCAGTTTATACCAACAATCCCTGCAAGAACAAAAAGCACATCACCAGAATTAATTTTTTTAGTTGTGCTCTTTTCACCAAGATTGCTAGAAGAACATGTTATGAATATGGCATGGAAAATTTTAAAATACAATGAAGGCGGGGAAGATAACAACATAACTTTGACTGAGACTAGTAAAATTAATGCCCTGTTTATTTCTTTTAATTTTTTATTTTTTTGAGGGGGGTTCCCTCTTGAAAACCTTCTATTATGTCTTAATTTGAATCATATAAAGGTCTGATCTAGAGATTCCATTCGCATAAAAAGACCTCAACACAGTACTATCAATACATTTAAGAAGGGGAAGGGAGTTAATCGGGGAAACACTCCAAAGCAACACATGCAATATTACCTTAAATATTTAACGCCTCTGTGTTTTTCCAATGGAACGTTTCCCAGAGAACAAGTGCTTTGGTTTGAGTGTAGGAATCACTCTATCTGCTTCTCCACGTCTAGCATCCTTGTTCCTCTTTTTAGCAGATTTCTTGAAAAGTTTAAGAGCCTTGCTTTTTTGAACCGAGTCCTTGAAGCCCTCTCCTGGAACAACCTCATTTGGAGGCCGTGACCTTGACCTAGACCGAGATGTGGATCTCAAACGCAGCTTCTTATTTGGCTGGTCCACATCCATATCCATAGCATCACCATCATCGTGTCCCCTGTCAGTTGACCTCTCTCTTTTGCGGCCCCTCCTAGAGAGTGACCTCTCACGAAGACGATTAATTGCTTTAGAAGGATCCACTCCCATAGCTGACAGCTGCCTGCCCATTCTTTCTGTTGTGAACTTTCTGTCCTTGTCAAATTTTCTAGGTACAGTAGGCCGGCTCTCTGCAGTGCTTTTCTTCATTCTATGCTCTTGAATGAGCAAGCTTTTCTTTTTCCTGATCTCAGCCAAGGCTTCTTTCTCTTCAGGAGTTAATTCTTCACCATCCATCTCAAAATCTTCATCTCCTTCTTCTGCCTGTCGGATACCTTCTTCTTGTTCCAACTCCTCGAGCCTTTGCAAAATATCAGGATCAATGAAGTCATACACATTGTGGCCATCAAGAATCTCCGGGAGTACATCTTCTTTCCATTCATCATTGGCTAAGATGTAATTCTTCTTCAAACTGGCAGAGTATACACCAGCACCACCATTTTCATCTTCCAAATCCTTCTCTGTTTTTCTTTTCTCCTTCTCTGCTGCCTCCTTAGCTTTAGCTTCCAAAACTGCTTGAGGTATACAAGGTGGCCTTTCCTTTTGATCACGTGGCTTTGGCATTGCTACATGGAACCGATTTAAGCAGTCATTAATTTTTTTGGATTTCATCTTCATTTCCACTCGCTGATTCAGCAATCTCTCGCAAGCAGCATTCTTCACAGCAATCACCCCCTCCTCGGTCAAGGTACTCATAGTCAAAAGCACATCATCATCATTGGTAGCTTCACCTCCTTGAGCAACCAGTGTCTTCATAGCTTCTGATTTCATCTCCATGACCAACTTCATGTCTTCCTCAGAAATCCCTTCAAGTGGTTGCAAATCGGTCTTGTTGCACACAATGGTCAATGGTTTATTCATAAACAAAGACTTAATGCTATGAAATAAAGCAGCCTGTTGAGAAATGCTATATCCACATGACCCAGAGACGTCCAAGAAGAATAACACAGCCGCTCGAAGATGTGCCAGAGCCGTGATGCTGCACATCTCAATAATGTTACGATCCTCAAAAGGCCGATCCAAAATCCCTGGTGTATCAATCACTTGGTACCTCAGATACTTGTAATCTGTGTGGCCTACAAACAATGACTTGGTAGTGAATGCATAAGGTTGCACATCCACATCTGCCCTGGTGATCTTGTTGATGAAAGAGCTCTTCCCAACATTAGGATACCCACAAATCAAGATTGTCCGGGTATTTGGATCAATTGAAGGTAGCCTTGCCATATGCTGTCTAATTTGCTCCAAGTAAGCTAAACTTGGGCCAATCCTCTTCATAACAGTGCACATTCGCCCAAGAGCAGCAACCTTCAGAGACTTGCATCGATACAACGAATCACCATACTTTAACAACTTGACATAATCCTTAGCAATCTTGCTAATAAGATTCCTGGCAGTATTAATCTGACCAAGGGCCAGCTTGTAATGATCCTTATTGTACAGCACATGAAGAAGGTCACCATAAAACGGATGGATGTCATCAAGACGAGGGAACTCGTCAACGATTGTTGAAAGCTTCTCATGAAAATTCTGCTGAGTATACTTCACCTTCCGCATATAAAACTGCCGAAGCCGAGAAATAGCATAACCCTTATGGACCACTGTTGGTGTTTGCCTTTGGGTCCGAGAAAGGATGATATCAACAAAATCCTTCCCATTAGGGACCACAGTAATCTTCTTAAAATTATACTGCACCATCTTTATACTCTTTCTACACTGTAAAACAGACATACATATTCAAATAAATGGTATCGCTAGCAATTTTCTTGATGAAAAACATATATATACTAATTAAGAAAAAAATCCTATCCATTGAAGGAACTGAAAACATAAAAAAATTGAAAAACTGGAAAAAATAGGTGATAACAACATAGCAAGAATACAGTCGCAGAAGATAAAGAATCTAGCAATAGCAGAAATAATTGAAAGTTTGAGAAGAGGAGAAGCTCTCACTCACCTTGTTGAGAGCAAATGAGAAAGAAGAAGGGCGCCGCAAGCAGGAGGCCCTCTCTCTAGGGTTTAAGAGAGAAAGGAAGGAAATTATAACTAATAAAGAGGCGGCTTATGTAGCAAGGGTTTTGTCTTCGAAACGACATGTCGTTCATTTAAAAATATTGGTTGCACGTTAGGAGACACGTAGTCCACCTTTCACCCCTTGCCTCCTTATCTCATGGGGTAACAGAAAAACCTCAGATTGTCGCTTCCTGTCACCGCAATGTTGCTGAGACTGGGAGCGCTGACACCGCTTCTCCGCCCGTCTCTCTTCTCTCCGAAACCTATCCTCCTTTCTCCTTTAATAACCCCCAAACCCTTCTTTTCTCTCTCCTCCTTCTCTACGGCACCTTTTCAATCGTCTTTGGTATCTCATTCTTTCAATCCAAAACCAACAACCCTCTTCGAAAGTGGCAAGAATGCCATCTCTGTTGACCCTTATTATTTATCCTGCTGTATGGCTGACAAAGATAAGCCTCTGAGAGTTGCTGTCCTCCTCAGCGGCGGCGTTGACAGTAGCGTTGCCCTTCGGCTTTTGCATGCTGCTGGGCACCACTGCACTGCTTTCTACCTCAAAATTTGGTTCCAAGTAACCCATTTTCTTTCTTTCAATTTTCTTTTGCTCCGAAGTTTGAAACTTTGTCTGAAATTAGTCTTAATTCGGAGTTGGTGTTTTGCAGGAAGATTTTAACAACTTTTGGTCAGAATGTCCATGGGAAGAGGATTTGAAGTTTGCAAAAGGTGTCTGTGATCAGGTTAATCACTTTCTTTTCTTCATTTTTTTTACATCTAGCTTTTAATATGTACAGCTGCATTTAAGAAAGTAGGTTTCTTCTTTTGCCTTCTCGAAAGCCAAGCTTTGATCAAATTCTTTTCGTTTGGCCAAGTTTGAGATGATGTTTTACATATATTCTGTTTTAGCGGTTTCATTTCATTGTTTGGAATTCAACCTTTTCTTTGCTCTTATGAGTTACAAAATTGGCATAAAAATTATGCTTCTGAAATGGAAGATTTCGATGAAAGGATTTTTCTTTCTTACTTTTTAGGTAGGAGAAGTTCTTTGCTTGGTTTATAATCTATAAGCTTGTACAGGAGAGATAGAGAGAGAGCGAGAGATTGTTTAACTGAAGCTTGATGGCATTGGCTTTCAGGTTGGTGTCCCATTAGAAGTTGTCCATTTGACTGACGAATATTGGAGTAATGTGGTATGTGATTCCACTACAAGAACATTTCCTTCGTTTATTTTTTTGCTTTCTCACTTGGTTATTTCTGTATAGTTGATCAGAGAGCTTTTTTGTTAGATACAATTCCCCCTAAAAATGAAGAAAAGGAAACTCTGTTATTTTATTTGCTCTATTTGTTGTATAGTGGAAAATCTGCTTTTTCTGGTCAGTCTTCTTGTTGGAGAATCTGGATGAAGCTGTGAAGACATTTTTATGGTCGGTGAAGTAATGAAAATTGATGGTTAATTTTCCAGGTGTCATATATTATTGAAGAGTATCGATGTGGCCGCACTCCCAATCCTGATGTTCTTTGCAATACAAGAATTAAGTTTGGTACCTCTAGCTGAGCTTGAACACGTGAATTTATCCTTTGATTAGTTGATTCAGACTATCTTTGTGCGTAACTTTTTCTTTGAAATACAAAAATTTCAGGTGCATTCATTGATGCCATCAACAACATGGAATTTGATTATGTTGCTTCAGGGCATTATGCCCGTGTCATTCATCCAGTTTCAAATCAAATAAATAAGCCATCTGTTTTAGAACTCTCAAAGGACAAGGTAATTAAGTGAGAACATATCTTCTGATCTTTTGCTTTTCTTGTCTCTTTTGCTTTATTATCAGTCTTTTGAGTATTGTCTTAAAACTGTAATTGGTTAATTGTGTTTCATTTTCTAAGATGCCTGATACATTCTTTCATCAACACAATCACGACATTGTTGATGCTTTAAGGTGGAAGCCTTGTGGTAAATGGGGTTTTAAATTTACAATCATATTTTAGTAGTTTCTTCGAATCCATTATGTGAATTTTTCTCATTAGATGGTTTAAAGTCATATTAGAATTTGTAATGTGTGAATCTAGGTACTGTGAAGAGTTTTTAGTTGCCCACATAAGAAAAGAAGACAGTTATTTTCAGCATTTTTTTTCCTTGCAATATGTGCACAGAAATCACTGATTTTCTTCCCCAAAAGTTCTGCATTATCTCTCACCAAGAGTAAAACTGGGGAATCAGTTTGAGAGATCACTTAGATCTTCAATGTCATTTGATAGATAAAAATTCTACTTATCATATTTGTTCCATAAACTTTATCCTGAAACTCTGATAAATTTAACTGCCCATATTCAAATTACATTTATGCCTGTATGATGTTTTTGTGTTATTTCTATCATGAGGATTGGTGCCTAACAGATTACTTGAAGCATTTGTCTATTGTGTGTTGTTAATGTTAATAAGTATGATCTACAGCTCAAGGATCAAACGTATTTTCTCTCACATTTGGCACAAGCTCAGCTTAAACGTCTTATTTTTCCACTTGGGTGTATTCCAAAGGTGAGTTGTTTATATGAGCTGCCATATTTTTACTTATAATATGAGTTTGATAGTCTTCCATGCATTTATATCATTAACTCATCAATTAGAAGACTATTATTTAGTTTCTCAGCACATGGGGGTATTGGAATACTTATTATCATTCTCTGTTTAAGTTTTAAAAAAATTGTGTTAGATTGATGTGATGTGGAGAATTCACACAGGACTTTTAAAAGTAACATATTTCTCATTAGCAAAATAATAAATGGTGGGGACAGTAGGGATGGATATTAAAGACAAAATATAAGAGTATTATAATCATCCCAAGATTTTTTAAAGAGTTGTATTTTTTTATAGCCCATGGATCTTTTAGTTTTTCTACCTTTTTTTTTTTAGTTTGTGCATTTGATTTGATAACGTAGGTGAGATAAAGAAGTATTGCAGTGTATGCCAACAATAAGTTAGCTCAACATGGCTCCATCATACACTATAATAGTAAATTGATAGATGCAAGTGTTCAAATGACTTGTTGACTTGACTATGTCATTTTAAATGAGTTGTGTAACATGAGAACATGAAGTTCTGGTAATTTAAAGCTGATATTTTCTTGGAAAGTCTTCTTGGAACTGAAGTTTCCATCTATTTATTTATTTTTAATTTTTTATGTTCTTCATTTTGAAAGTATATTACAGTATATCATGCTACAGTTGTAATTCGTTGCATGGCTCTATTTCTTATGATTGCAGAAGTCTTCCAAAAAAAAATTTTTATTTCTTCCTTTATTTCTAAAAAATGAATATTTCTGTCTCCATTGTTGCAGGAAGAAGTTCGCAATCTTGCCTCAAAATTTGATTTGCCTAACAAAGACAGAAAGGATTCACAAGGAATATGCTTCCTTGGAAAGGTACTTCCTAATGGCAGTTTTTTGCCACATTCCTTGCATGGTACAGGAAACATTTTTAAGATGTGATGTTTTATGTGCTATATCTGCTCAACAAATGTGCTGTTGATAGCAATGCATTTTATTTTGGAAACCAGACCCATTAATGAAAAGCAAGCAAATTGATGCCTATTAACTCTAGCTAATGTATAGCTAAGTTTAGTTTGCATAAAACTTTGTCCTTTATAAGCTTGTAATGCCTTGTTGATTTGGATGGATGACAAAAGAAATATCCTTCATTGAACTTCATTTTTCAGAACTTTCTGATATTAGCCTTGACCGGTTCTAAACTTTCTTTATTTGCTGTTATTCTATTTTTAGTGGCCATTTCAAATTTGAAACATGCTTAGTCTTTAAAAAGTTGAACCTGGTCTTAATAGTGACTTGAGATTGCATTATCTTAGAACTCTTCTTTTTGTAGATAAAATTTAGCGAATTTGTTGTGAGACATATTGGAGAGAGTGAAGGTGTGATTTTGGAAGCTGAGACAGGAGATTTCCTTGGCATTCATCGGGGATTTTGGTTCTACACAATTGGTCAACGTCAAGGCTTACGCCTTCCTGGGGGACCCTGGTATGCTTTGCCAAATTGTTGATCTATAGCTTATCTATAGCCATGGCAACATTCATATTATGCTTTTCATAGGATATAATGTGATGGTTTGCCAAAATTCTTTCTACCACTGTGAACTTTGTGCACTTAAAGATGCCATATTTCTCCTCTAGTGTTTTCTCCAATCTTGTTTTTGAATTATAAAGCCATGGTTTATCTTATGTTGGGCTCTTCTTCGCCCACTTTGTTTGCTGAAGGCTTTTCTGTGTGGTGCACCTTATGCAGGTATGTTGTTGAGAAGGATGTTAAAAATAATGTAGTGTTTGTGTCAAGAAATTATTTCTCATTAGACAAAAGAAGGCTCTCATTCCGTGTTGGCTCCTTGAAATGGCTTAGCGGGTCTCCACCTGATATGACCAGTCAGTTTCAGTGTAAGGTATAGAAGAATTATGTTCTACATAATTCATTATTTGATAACCAATATTGCACATTTCCCTCCATGAATGTTTACCTTTTTATTTGGTTGGCAACCATGTAGTCCTATTTATCCAACATTTGAGTCATTTATGCCTTACCTATTAGTGTACGTTGCGGTCAATTGCTAATATCTTGAAGTTCAACTCTCTTTGAAACTTTTCAGGTCAGACATGGCCCCACATTTTATGATTGCAGTGTAAAGATAGAACTTGGTGAAGATAGTCCTGAAGAGGTTGTGGTTGTCCACTTGTGTGAAGATGATCAAGGTCTAGCAGCAGGGCAGTTTACAGCTTTCTACCAGGGAAGAACTTGCATAGGTTCTGGTGTGATTTTGGAGTCCTGGGATGATAAAGGTTTTCCTGTATGTCAGAAGGCTCTTGAATTAGCTAGACTAGAAGATAAATCAAAGCTTGGGAAACCAGTTAAGATAAAGGTAAAACCAGAGACTTCCGACCAGGAATCTGTTCAGAAGGATGGCATAGGACCTGATAAAGGATTGGCTGAACCACGGGTTGCCATCACAAGTTAAAACAAGTCGGATATATTTCAATGAGAAGCAATATCTGGATTCCCAGCAAGTTGGTTGCAAAAAATTGAAGCAGAGCTGGTTGCAGATATTACAGTCTTCAAATCGTGAGGAATGGTTCGTGCATGGAAGTGTAGGTTTTAGCACATTGGTCTCCCATTCAACCCTCTGGATCATAGGGCATGCTGTAGTTACCTAGAGACTAGAGCCAACCGGCATTTATAACCGGTTGGGCTGTGTATAATTAGAAGAACATTCCTTGATGATATACCTGTGGTTTCATGAAAATAATCGGCTTAAAAAGTATACAAATGTTGGAGGTCAAATTCTTGCTGTGACATGGACGGAGCATGCATCCCTACCACCTGAGCAATTAGCTAACAAAAACGAAATTTGCTCAAATTTTTATATCATAAAATGCTTCTGGGATTTGTAAAATTTAGAAATATATATCCAAAATTTAAATAAGGGAAGGTAGGCCTTTTCCTTCAATCAAAACTGACAGACCTAAAAAATGAGTCCAATAATCCATGAAATCCAACCTGGTTTCACTTTCACATGCCTCCATTCGTAGGTCGTTTTCAACATCTATTATTATTTAGTTCTTTTTACAATTAAAATAGATATTTCTTTAAACAATTATGATTTAAATTAGTAATAAAAAAATTCATTATTCTTTTCTAATACATGCATTTTTTTACTGATTTTTTTTATTAGTAGCATGTTTTTTTATTTAAAAGTAAAGGCAATTTAAATTATTTTTTTGTAAAAAAAAAATAATAATTTAAAATAAGTAGGGGGGAATGCATCTCTTTAATCTAAACCATGTTTTTTTTATATTAATCCATTTTTTTAATGAAATTTAAAAAAATAAAAAAGAATTATCATGATATGAAAAGAAAGTTTTAATTAAAAAATATTGAGAATTTTGGTATTATGTATGCAATTAAGGAAAAAAATAATTAATCTTAATAAAAAATAAAAATCTTATTTTCATTAAATATTCATGAACTCAATTTTTTGTTTTTACATATTAGGCTCATATATAATAATTAACCAAATGATTGCTAATATTACTGAAACACAAAATGCTATAGTCTTATTTGAAGAGAGAGAGAGAGAGAGAATTGCATTTGATGAAATAATATTTATTATTATTTTAACTTAAAAATTAAGAAAAAAGTCAAAAAAAAAAAAAAAACTATAACTAAATGGCTATAAAAAAGGGATAGCAACCAGGGCTTGAGTGGTAGCTAGTACAGCTAGCCCAATACAAAGAAAGCCAGACAATCTACCCTTCTTTTTTCTTTTTTTCTTTTTATTTTGCATTGGATAATAAGTCATCCGCTATATATATATATCACCACCACCAGAGATGCATATAAAGTTGGGTTCCAAGAATTTAAAATCTGAAATCTCATTTTATATAATAAAAAAATTCTAAAAAATATTTGAGTATCTTAATAAATTCATTTATGATTTGAAAATATTTTTAAATTGACCAAAACATCCTCAAATAAAATAATTTTTTAAATATCAATCTACTTTTTTTCAATGAGATGAATGTTAAAAAATATTTCAGTTGTTGGCTATTTTCTCTATTATTCATTATTTTTTGACTATTTTTTCTCTTATTTTTCAAAACTAAGAAATTAGAAAGTAAAATGTAAATCCTAAAATTATGGAGTGTTTGGGAATGTGGTGAGATCATTTTCTTAAAAATTTTAAATTTTTTTTGCTTAGAATGAAAAAAAAATATATTTTAAGATAAAAAGTAATTGTTTTGATGTGCTGATGTCAAAAATAATTTAAAAAAATAAAAAAAATTATTTTAATATATTTCTAAATAAAAAGTATTTTGAACAATTACAATTATTACAATTCCAAACAGGCCCTAATAATAAGATAAAAATTAATTGATCAAAGAATTTCTATATAAAAATAATTTTTTTATGTGAATCTAGAAAAAACCTTCTTTTTTTTAGTTGTTTTTTCATTACAAATTTAAATCTTATTTAATTAAATTGGACTCAAAATCAATACAAACTAAGAATTGCAATGATATACAAAGAGTAAAAAATTTTGAAAACAAAAGAAATTGAAAAAAATAAAGTTTGGTGATTAAAAAAATAAAAATAGAAAAACAACACTGTTGAAGGGAGAGAAGTATGGCCGCCCCTCCATAATAATCTCAAGAGATTGGGATATCACACGGCACTTTCATTATGTTGCAACCATTGTGGGATGAGGATGATGAGACTCTTCTATTATATATAAATAAAATATAAATATTTTAAATTCTCTACCTGTTAGATAATTGGAACTCCACCTATTAATAAAAAAAAACAATCCAGTAATCCAAGCGTTTCTGTGGAAACCATTGGTAGGTCCCACGCCTATCAATAATTTAATAGCTGTTCTGATTAGGTAATTTAGCCAGGGAAGAATTGACCAAAATTAATAGAGTAGGTGGTTTCATTTTCCATCCCTTTACAAAGTATTATTTTCTAGAATAATGATATTTTTAGTTTAGTTTTTTTATTTTTTTATTAATTTTTTATAGTTTCATCATTTCAAGACTGAGTTGGTTAGAAAATAAATTTCATAATTATTTTGATTTATTTTCTATGAGTTTATCATAGTTTTATAATCTATATCACATGTTTAGTAAGTTAATTTAAGTTAACTCATATTTTTTTAATTGATTTTTTTAATTTCATCATTTCATTGGATGTCACAACCCATTTTTGAGTCTCCGTACAAAAAAAAAATATAACTGTTCAAAATAGAATGTCAAAGTGCCCTAAAAAATGGTTAAAATCAGTTGAGGAGGTTTAAAAATATAAATATTAAAATTTGACAGTATTTTATTGACTGATGAGAGTCTTGTTGACAAAGAAAATTTAATTTGAGGAAGAAAATTTTGAAATTAAATTTTTATGGACTCAATTAAATTTTATTGAAGGTTTAATTGAAGTTATAAAAGGTTTGATTACAAGAAAAATTGATTTTGAAGTTAATTTGGGCTTAAATTGGAAGAAATTCTAGTTCTGAGGTCAAAATATAATTTTTGAGAGTTAATTTAGTCAAATCAGGAGCTTAATTGCATAAATATTGAAGTTTGATAGCCAATTAGAAACTTAATTGAAAAAAATCTGAAACCAATGACCGAAATAAAAAACACGCGTAAATAAAGAAGTTGTAATTAAACAGAATCATGGGTCAAATTAAAAAAATTAGAAGTTTATTACTCAATTGAAGGTGAAATTGCACTAATATGACACCAAGGACTGATTAATACTTAAAAGTGCATTTTTATCATGGTTTTATATCATCATTTTGCACTTGAAGTATCAATAACTCCTTAACTAAAATATGTTTTATAATAATGTATCTAATAATATAAGATACCTTTAATTTGTGGTAAATGTCTATTTTTAATGCAGACCTATCACATAAATGAAAGGATTGATTGATGACTTGAAGAACTTAAATTGCAAGGATAAAGAGATGGCCAAACTTAGAAAAGAGATGTCGGTGCAATCCAAACCGGAACATTGTTCGGTAATTGGGTCATATCTGGAGCTACAGATCTCAGATTTAGGTCCAATTTATATGGATGGAAAGGTAAGACATAGGCCTACAACTTTCATATGGAGCCCAAGATCTAAAAAGGCCATTATCAAGTCCAAATTGTAGCAACAACAAAGAAGCCCGAATCTGTCTTCCAGCCCGAGCACTGTTCGGTATTTTGGCCATATCTGGAGTTCTAGAAGTCCAAATGAGCTGAATTTTTTACACAAGAAAGCTGAGACAATTGCCTACAACGTTTATGTTTGGACCTGGCTCCAATTTTGACGTTATCAATGACGTTTTGGGCAGACAAGAGAAGATAAGGATTGTCACCAAGTCAAAAGTTGGCCACCCACTTATCAATTAGTCATCAAATCAATAGTTCCCAATTTTGGCCTATAAAAGGAGGCATTTGCCATGCATTTAGGCATCTTGGTTTCCAGATCAAGATCATGCTCTTCCTTTCTCTCTTTGTATTTTTTGTAGTGTTTATGCTTTGCTTTCATTAATACTAAGTTTGTGCTTTTCATTTCCTTTCCTTTACTTAGTTAGCTTTTATGGTCTTATTTTGTTTATCTATTTTTCTTTCTTTCATTATGTCTAGCTAAGTTAACTATGTCAAGGTGAAAAGGATACACTAATGGTGTGAGAATAAGTATAATGTAAACTTAATATGGACTTTAATGTTTGATACTAACATGTTTTATATTTGTTATCTTGTTCACTCTTAAATACTTTGCTTGTTAAATGACTAATCTTGATTTATGTTGTATAACACTTGGTACAACAAATGCTTGGCACTTTCATAGCCCATAATGTATGGTATAACCGACACCTGAGCTATGAAAGGAACTTGATTTGTTGTTAACATAAGTTATAATCATGAATGCTTGACGAGATTTACAAGTATTAGCATTAATTGAATAAGATGACTAATGTAATCATATTAACAATATATAATCTGATTGGAACCTCCTTTGTGTGTGGTTTCCAATTCAATAATAAGAGTTTATACTATACTTGTTTGATATACCATTAGTGGAACCTCTAACCTTGACATTTGTTATTATTATTGTTTAATCCTTACATTAATTTTCCATCTCCAAGTTCTCATCATCTTTTTCTTCTTCCCTTTCTTTATTATTATTATTATTATTACTACTACTATTATTATTACTATTATTATTATTATTATTATTATTATTATTATTATTAGTATTATTAGTACTACTATTATTATTATTATTATTATTATTATATTGTTGTTGTTATTGTTATTGTTATTGTTGTTATTTATAATTTGTACAATTAACCTCCCTGTGGTTCGACCCCGGTCTTGCCGGGTTATTTATTACTTCGACACTCCTGCACTTGGGAGAAGACATCAATCTTTTCGTCGTGTCAAGTTTTTGGCGCCGTTGCCGGGGAGGTAAGTTTTGTATAAATTATAATATCTATTTTATTTTCACTTTTCACTTTTCTTGTATATAACTTTGTTTCTTTTCTCTTGTTTCTTCTTTTTTTGTTTTCTTCTTCCTTTTATTCTATTCCTACACGTGCATGAAAGTGTGGTCACATATATCAAGTGGTAGACTTTGTAGGGTATCCTCATCATTTTCAAAAAATATGGTCGAAGAAGATAATCAATCACTTCATAATGAGAATAATGAGAATAACCGTGTCAGAACACTTAGAGACCACATGAATCCCATAAGAACAAGTGCACCATCATGTATAGTTTTTCCTCCCGGTGCATCTCA